CAGTTTTTATTCTCTTTCCAATATGAGCAATGCGAGTATCAAAATATGAAATAAACTGTGAACGATAATCAATACGTCAGTAGCATTTGAAAATTATTGCAGATTTCAAAACATATGAACAGAGACACAGGGACGTGTGCAGGATATTTTGTTGGGCAGTAAGGTAAAAATTATGAAACACACACACTCAACCAACTATTTAAAAGGAATTTCATTTACCAAAATATGTGATATAAAGCCAATGTTTCATTCAGCGGTATTGTTGCACAAAAATATAGGTGTTATCATTTCAGGTTATTTGCTGTTCAAAAGGTTTGCGCACAGGTAAAAATCATGTTGATGCAAGTTGTTCAAAACAGGAGTGACCAATGTTATGCTGCACCAAGTAAGCAGCATTGGCAAAAATGGTTGTTAAACCATCAATACTGTTGCAACTTGTTGGCAATCATGTCAACAAGTTGCAACAACATGATGATGCAAAAAGGATCAACAACAATGTTAACAATACTATAGTTCATGGGGTGCCCCACAATGGATTTGCGTAATAATTCAGTAAATCAAATAAATATGACGTCACAATTCACAAAAATATGGCAGACTTACCGAATTTATAGCAATGTAGGAGCTTAAGTATTCATTTAGCTATTTAAAAAACTTAGCAGAAAAACCAGAAATTATATGTCGACTGAAAAAAGTTCAGAGTTTAGTGGAAGATGTAAGTATCTTATATCAAACATTTTTGACAACAACCGCGGAAGATTGTTAATTGGGGGGGGCCGAGACTATAAATATTCATATATTCATTTTAAGCATTACTATTTTTTTCAAAATGATTGTTTTTGCGGTCTATTAACACCAATATATGAATATTAACCTCCGAATTAACAATCTTCCGCGGTTTGTGTTTGAAAGTATGAACTAAGAACTGATAGCTTTTAGGCATTACAGTACTGTCACTACTGTGCATAAATTAGTACATATATTATACATATTAGCACTATAAATTACAAGGTATTTGTTAAAATATACAACTTGAGAGTGCTTGATAGACATTTCAACATACAGTAATGTGTTCTTGTAGAACGAAGGCTCTTTTTTTATTGCAAAATGGAATTTAAGTGAAGATGGAAAATGTCATGAAGGTCAATTGGATATAACTGTAAAGGGAAAAAAAAGATATTTGCGACACCTTATACCCTTAATATTTTCATGAAACCTTACACTTGCAAATACTCACAATAAATTGTCACTGTCATTGCCTAAATATTCTGGTTTTATTGGTTGCTCATTGTTTACATGTGGACTCTTTGAAGATTGTAATTGTAGTTTTGTTTGCTTAATGAACCTAAACAATCTATGGTTTAAATAAACCCATGGATGTTTTTTCAATCATTTGCCTCCTAGCTTTGTTCAATGTATAGTAATTGTCAGCAAGGGCGAATGAATAACACATTATACTAACTTACTTGAAGGGAGATAAAACCTTCCATTTAAGGTTATAATTTTGCCAAAATACAAGTACTTGCAACATGATGTAGCTAATATTTTATCAAATATGACAAATTTGACCATCTTTTAAAGCAGTTTAATAATTACTTCTATGAAAACTACACATACATAACAATGTGTCCAGATATATTCTCAATACTTTGACAATGAAGGATCATATGGTATTAAGCTAGAAATTAAAAGTGAAATTCTTACCCCAAGGACCAGAAAGATTTGCTATGAGGCCATTTGGAAGACAAATGCTTTGAAATTTTAAACAGTGCACACGTTTATGTCCATTATATACATCGCATTGCTGCTTTTCTGGTCTACACATAGGTCTTACAGTTCCGTCAATAAATCCGAAGCAATTTGTCAATGGAGCTCCTTTACTGTGGATGTGGTGTGCATATAATTGGAGATTTTCAGAGGAAAGAAGGGGTAAGTTCCACGATCTTAGTCGGGTACTATTTTCTTTGTAGATGAAATTTATCATGAAGTGTACTATTCTGCACAATTCCGGGACCGACCTAGCGAAAAGAGGTACCATGTCGCAGTACCTGCCTGGATACGCAAACCTTTTACGTAATAAAATACACAGTGCCTCTAACCCACGACAGGTATTGCAACATTTTATGGAGATTTCTTCTGGTATTCGTAATGCTTCCTTAAGACGGGGATTTATCTGTTTTCTCAAACCTAAGCTCTATTTTGCAAACCAATTCATCCAAGTTATTCCAATCGAATACCTGGTAATCTTTGTAAGGAAAGCTACTTTGCTTCCCGTTTCTATAGGTATTTTTTCCCTGGAAGAAAATATATTCTTCCTCCCTAATTTCCCCTTCAGCTAGAGCTAAAAGGAAAAAATCATTCGTATCTAGCGCCATTTTGAATTTCGCGCCACAGCCTTTCCGGTGAATTTGCAAGTTGCCGAACACCTTAAAATCGCAACGGGAAATCAAACAATCCAGCACTGTCGACCCAGACTTTTACGCGGTTTAGACGTAGCCGTAGCCGTTCTCATTGCGTTTGCCAAACTCACTAATGTCCCATAACTGCTGGACAATAAATTATTGATCTGATCACCCCACCTAAGATGTTCGTCAATATCCACGCCAAGCAACTTGGTACAAGAGATTCTCTCCAATGGGACATAAATTTAAATTTTTCTTCGTTGGTTTTTAACCATGATGGCATTTCATGGATTTGTTGTTCAGAGTAATTACCTTTGTCAATGTGCCAGTCATACACTGACTCTGGCATTTCCTGCCTTGAGTCAAACAGTTTATGAATATCCGTCTGGTGTTTTTTTGGCTCCATGTGGCAGAGCTTTGCCTGTAGTTTCCTGGAGAACTGGCTCAATCTCAACGTCATTGAGATATCAAAGAGCAGAAAATAATACGGCAAAGCAAGGAACAAAGATGGTGTAAAAGTGGCCTACAAGTTGATAGACATGCATATGTTTACCAGTGTATACCTTCATAGGAAACCTGAAAAGCTATACCCTGCGTCTGATTCTTCCACAAGGTTAGCAAACCAATTTGCGCATTTCTTTAACAATAAACTTCCTAAAATCAAACAAGGTCTGCAAATTCCATCGTCAGGGAATAACTTGCTTTTCTCACAGCGAGATAATCTAAAGTTAACTTGCTGTTTGGCATTTTCACTTATACTACAATTGAGAAATTATGAAGAATTCTGAAAAAACTGAATTTAAAGTCCTGTGTGCTATGTAGCGTAGATTACATATTATAACATTTGCATAATATGGTGAATTATGTGACATAGCGGATGACGTAATTCTAGCAGCGCTAGAACGCAGCTACAAGGAGCTATATATAAGCTCAAGTAAAAGTGACGCAGCACTGAAACCGCACTTGAACAGTGCTAACACAGCGCTAACTTGGTTTTGCAGATTGCCTTCTATGGTAATCATGGAACTCCAGTTATCTGGTTATAGCAGATTGTATTACCATAGTTTGCGTGCCAAATATGTCATAATTAACTTATGCAAGCACTATATAAACACTTGCACACAAATATAGAAGATAGAGATATAGAAGATAGAAATATAGAGGAGTGTAAATAGAATACAAGAATTATATATTCCAAAGCTTTACTGGTGTTAGACTGATTTCTATCACGACGATGGTGCAAGCCTGAAATACTCAGTTGAAGTTTGGATTGAGTTAAGCTTATTGCTAACGGTCCCTGGGACACGGATGACACACCCAGTTTTACGGCCCAACGTTACATTGGTGGCAGCGGTGGGATCCAGAAAACCAGAAGCAGCCTAGAAAGACCAAGACTACAAAAACTGTGAGTGCTTAGTCACAATTTTTGGGCTGGGGCTTTACTGTAGTTCCAAAACTGATTTGTTTCGGAACTCTGGTGGTGTGTTCGCCTTTCGGGTGTCCTTTGGTATTCGGTTGTGTAGATTTGCATTCTCTTGTATTTAAGTTCGTAATTAAGTTTGAGTAGGGAAGCAGCATGTCTACGGATCAGCCCAGTAGCAGTGGAGGCAGCGCGCCAACTACGACGCACCATAAGGTAGCCGTCATGCCGGAAGCTTTCGGGGCCAAAGACAAAGAGGATTGGGTTTCTTGGCTTAAGTATTTCAATAATTGCGCAAAATTAAATAAGTGGGGCGCTGAGGAGAAACGTGATTTCTTGGCAGTTCGTCTCCGTGGCGCTGCGCAAGAAACCTAATTCTCTTTGTCCAAAGAAGTTCAGGATGGAACATTCGACGGTCTCGCGGAAGCTCTCGGCAAGAAATTTGCGCCTGTGGAGCGTCTAGAGTTGTATAAGGCTGATTTTCAGGCTAGACGGCGCACGCCGGGCGAGAAACTAAGCGAATTTGCGTCCAACTTAAGTAAAATGGCTAGGAAAGCATTTCCTGGCGCACCAGCGGAGATTCTTGATCGTTTGACAATGGATCGCTTCATCGCGTCTTTGGATAGCACGGACCTTCGCATACGTGTTAGGGAAGGCAACCCAAAGACGTTCGATGAATGTTTAAGTCGAGCGATTCAACTTGAGGCAATTTACGAGGCGGAAATTGGCCAGAACCGTGGCAAATCGTCTCGGGTTCAAACGGTCGAGAAATCTGCAGAGATGCGCATCTCCGAGATGCTTACCAAGCAAACTGCTGCGCTTGAGAAGGCCGTCAATTTGCTAAGCGAGCGCGCCAAATCTGGGGATGGAAATAGCCGTAATAAGCCAGGGTTTAAGTCCAAGGGCAAAATTACTTGTTGGAAATGCGGTGGTGTGGGCCATGTTAAAGCGAAATGCCCCACACAAGATTTACCAAGCGGGAAGCCGGAAAACTAGGGTTGGCTGGCGCCGCGGGTCGCGCGTCAGCCAATGATTCATCCAAGACCCAGCAAACAAGTTCCAATGCGAGCCGGGAAGGGGGTGCAGAAGTGTCAAAACCTACAATATTAGGGTCGTACGGGGTCAATGAAAGCGCCAGCGTTTATGTCCCTGGGTGGATAGGAAATGTCAGGGTAGACATGCTTTTAGACACGGGTTCTGCTGTAACTCTCGTACATAAGCGACTATTGGATAGGGTTAACCAGGGTGAGGGGATGTCTAAAGCACAGGAAAGGGTGGTATCAGCAAACGGGCAGCCATTAGGAATCCTAGGAACGTGTAAGCTTAGAATACGTCTAGGGGGTGTTGATGTTTATCACACGGTGCTAGTGGCGAGTGATATTACTCAGGATTGCTTGATTGGTGTTGACTTCTTGGCTAAGTATGATTGTAAAATTAATTTTGGGATGAGTTCGGTTAACGTTGGGGGTAGGGAAGTCTCTATGGGGAATAGGTTTGAGGAAGGTGGGACATGCGAACGGGTTAGGTTGGCGGAGACGGTTACGGTGCCGGGTGGACATGAGATGATCATGTCAGCAGATGTCAGGGCAATTAGTGACGAGGTCACTGGTATAGTAGAGCCCTGCCCAGAATTTTTTTCTAAGCACTCAATTCTGGTGGCCCGAATAGTAACAAAGCCACGGGATAACCATGTGCCTGTCAGGTTATTAAATCCTTCTCAAGACCCAGTCACCATATACCGAGACACAACCCTTGGGACGTTTTCTCCAGCAAACGTAGAGAGTCCTGTAGAACCGAACTCGGAGGTTTACCAAGTGAAGTCTGTTCGTGGGAAAGCTAAATCGTCAAAATCGCCTAAAACGACATTAACTCAACTGTTAAATTTGGAAAACACGGACATAGACAGTTCGCAAAAATTGCAGTTGGAGGAGTTTTTGAGCGATTTTGAGGACGTAGTTTCGAAAGGTTCGTCAGACTTGGGTAGGACAAACCGGGTAAGACATCGTATTCCCACGGGTGACGCTGCTCCTATTAAACAATCCCCAAGATGAGTCCCCTTCCATCAGAAGGACGAGATGGAGAAGAATTTAAAGTTGATGCTAGAGGATGGCGTTGTAGAACCTTCTTCAAGTCCTTGGGCCTCCCCAGTTGTTCTAGTAAAGAAGAAAGACGGTAGCACTAGATTTTGCGTTGATTATCGTCGCCTCAACGACGTCACACGAAAGGACGCTTATCCGTTGCCGAGGATTGACTCGACCCTTGATGCTTTAGGTGGGGCTAAGTATTTCTCCACTATCGATCTTGCTAGCGGTTATTGGCAAGTTGAAGTAGACCCATCGGATCAAGAGAAAACTGCCTTTGCAACACCACAAGGATTGTTCGAATTTCGTGTTATGCCGTTTGGGTTAACTGGAGCCCCAAGTACTTTTCAACGATTAATGGAGTCTGTCTTAGCGGGATTACAATGGTCCACGTGTATGGTTTATTTGGACGATATCATCATTTTCAGGACGACGTTCGAAAACATCTCGAAAGGTTACGAGAAGTATTCACAAGACTTCGTGAAGCAGGACTGAAGGTGAAACCACAGAAATGTAAACTGTTTCGGAAAGTCGTACCGTTCTTGGGCCACGTCATCTCTAAGGAGGGGGTCGCAACCGACCCCAGCAAGATAGATGCCGTGACACAATGGCCGGTACCACTGACCAAAACCGAGTTACGTAGCTTCCTGGGATTAGCTTCCTATTATCGGCGGTTTATCAAAGATTTCGCGGCGATAGCTTCACCGTTACATCATGCATTAACTGTTGGAAACGAGAAAGCATTCGTGTGGACTACGGCTTGCGATCGTGCTTTCGGTGATTTGAAGAAAAAGTTGGTGAACGCTCCCGTGTTAAGTTACCCGAAATTCGATTTGGAATTTATTCTCGATACGGATGCAAGTGACCTGGGAATTGGCGCTGTGCTATCTCAAGTTCAAGAGGGCGAAGAAAGGGTGATTGCATACGCGAGCAGGACACTTACTAAATCTGAAAGGAACTATTCGGTTACGAAGAGGGAAATGCTGGCTCTAGTTTTCTATAGTCAACATTTCCGGCACTATTTATACGGTCGACGATTTACTGCACGAACAGATCACGATGCTTTACGGTGGCTTAAGAACCTTAAGGAACCAGGCGGACAGGTTGCACGTTGGTTGAAGAAGTTGGCAGAATTCGATTTCAAGGTCCAGTCGCGGCCGGGGAAACGACACGGGAACGCAGATGGGTTGTCTCGGAGACCACCGGATCCTGCCGATGTTCCTGAAGAGTCCACGGTTGGAACTGCTGCGGTTAGTCCAGAACGGAGTTGGTGTTTGCGATGGACAGCTGCGGAGTTGAGATCGTTGCAGCTGGCCGATCCTGTGATCAAAGATGTGTTGTCTTGGCGAGAATCCAGATCAGACCCTCCACGGAAAGAAGACATGTAAGGATTCAGCAGAACTGTACATAATTTATGCTCCCACTGGGAAGCCCTTGAAGTTCGAGACGGAGTTTTGTATCGGTGTTGGGAGAACAAAGACGGAACAACTTCGAAACCTTTGTTAGTTGTACCTAGATCGTTGGTGAAAGACGTGCTCACTGCGTTACACGACGATCCGACGGCGGGACATTTGGGCGTCACGAAGACACTGTCGAAGGTATGGGAACGATTCTACTGGCCTGGTCTGCGCACCGAAGTGGAAGAGTGGGTGCGACAGTGCGAGAAATGTGCCACGGGTAAGGGTGCAACGAAAGGACATCGTGCTCCATTGGTTAGCTGTCCCCCAGGCTTCCCAATGGAACGCGTTGCAATTGACATCCTTGGACCTCTTCCGGAATCTACGAACGGTAATAAGTACATCATGGTAGTTGGTGATTACCTGTCGAAGTGGACGGAGAGTTATAAGATACCGAATCAAGAGGCACAGATGGTAGCTCAAAAACTGGTCGACGAGTTTATTTGCCGTTTCGGGGCGCCGGAAAGGATTCATACAGATCTAGCGTACAGAAATCGACCGGTTTTGCGCCTTTCTATCTGATGTTCGGTAGAGAAATTCGTTTGCCAGCGGACGTTAGGTTCGGAAGCCCTCCAGATCGCCCCAGAGACACAACGAAGTATGTCGCGGAATTACGGGGAAGACTTGAAGAAGCGCACAAACTCACTCGCGAACAGCTAAAAAAAGCACAGAAACGACAAAAGAGCTACCATGATGCTCGAGGCGTAGGTGGTAGTTTTGGTGTTGGCGACCGAGTCTGGCTTTTCAATTCAGCAACGAAGAAAGGAGAGTCGAGGAAGCTCATGCAGCCGTGGTTGGGACCTTACGTGATCTTAGACAAAATTTCGGACGTGAACTAAAGAATCGGGCTCGAGAACGGGACAGGACGAAAGCAAATTGTTCACTTTAATCGGCTGAAACTTTGCAAAGCGCAGAAAACGGACGGAGGGAATTCTGACAAGCAGCAGAAACCCGTAGGAGAACAGGTTGATCGTGGAAACGAAAGCGACGGCGAACGGTCTTATGTACCGGACGACACCGACCTTTTATATTCTGATAATCCACCTGTTTTCCTGCAACCGGACCACAATCACGAGCCTGAACCACCCCTAGTTGAGCGAGCACTTCCCGAGCGACAGCAACGTGTTGTGCGACCACCAGTATGGATGGATGATTATGAGGTAGAATGAATGTTGGAACACTTGAAGCATTTCTTTGAACAATTTTTTTAGTTTTATTGCATGCTTGGATGATTTATATAGCATAGAGTTTTATTACCGGCATGAGGACATGCCTTCCTCTAAGAAGGGGGTAATGTAGCGTAGATTACATATTATAACATTTGCATAATATGGTGAATTATGTGACATAGCGGATGACGTAATTCTAGCAGCGCTAGAACGCAGCTACAAGGAGCTATATATAAGCTCAAGTAAAAGTGATGCAGCGCTGAAACCGCGCTTGAACAGTGCTAACACAGCGCTAACTTGGTTTTGCAGATTGCCTTCTATGGTAATCATGGAACTCCAGTTATCTGGTTATAGCGGATTGTATTACCATAGTTTGCGTGCCAAATACGTCATAATTAACTTATGCAAGCACTATATAAACACTTGCACACAAATATAGAAGATAGAGATATAGAAGATAGAAATATAGAGGAGTGTAAATAGAATACAAGAATTATATATTCCAAAGCTTTACTGGTGTTGGACTGATTTCTATCACGACGATGGTGCAAGCCTGAAATACTCAGTTGAAGTTTGGATTGAGTTAAGCTTATTGCTAACGGTCCCTGGGACACAGATGACACACCCAGTTCTACGGCCCAACGTTACAGCTAGATCCTATACCAAAGGTACTCTCTTCAAACATTGATGTGATTATACTGATTATCATGGATAGTGTTAATTCATCTTTAGAAACTATTCATGTCCCATCACCTTTTAAGAAAGCCACTCTATACCCGACTCTTAAAAAGTCTGCCACTGATTATGAACAATATTCCAATTTTTGTCAAATTTCTAACTTGAAATTTATTTCAAAAATTACTGAAAAAGTGGTTGCTTTACGGCTATTGCATTATCTTCAAAACAATAGAGAGATTAAGCTTCGCGTAAACGGCGCACGGCAAACGCCAGCTTGCCGTCAGTTGCTTGTCATTTTCGATTTCGAGATTTAAGCATTGTGTGAACGCACGGGTGAACGAATGGAAGAAAACTGGAATCTAGCGTCTCGTGTAAACAGTATACATGGCGGCAAAAAGAAGGTACAAAATTTTTCGAGCTATGAATTTCACTTTGGTTTTGATTTTAATATGTTACCGTTATCTCAACAAACTATTAAGGTTGAATATTATTATACCAATATAGGCAGGTAATTTTCAAAAACCTGCAATTGCTGGTAGCAGAAGATTTTGACTCAGAAAGCTCGGAAGGTGATGATTCTGAGGAAGAGTTTATAAATGATTTGGAGGTTGCTTTGTTTATGGCAATTTTACCAGCTGTGTCAGGTAGTCTTGTGGTTCCCCATCTTAATTACAAGGATGTACCTGAAGATTGTTTCGAACAATTATTCAGGTTAGTATAGTTTAAAAATAATTTTACTTTTTCAGCTGTTTTAGTGGCATCACTGCACTCTAATAATTTGCTTTAATATTTGTCGCAACTCAAGATTTCACAAACCAGATTTCGAAAGGCTGATGGCTGCATTGGATATTCCAGAATGGTACATTTGCAATCAAAGAACAAAATGCCATGGAGCTGAAGCACTTCTAATCCTGCTGCGATGTTTTGCCTACCCAAACAGATAATGCGAATTATCCCAAATGTTTGGTAGGAGGGAACCAGAGCTCAGCATGATTATTCACAAGGCAAGGTTTATAATATAGCAATAAAGTGGCAACTATGATATTTAACACAATTCACAATAGTTGAATAATCATCAATCTTTTATTATTTTATTTCATAGGTTATTTCAAATATTTATGATTGTTACCATGGGCTGATTCATAATCTAAATCTAGCATGGTTAGACCCACAGACATTTTCACAAGTCATTTATGCTGCAGGTACTAATGAAAAGTGTCCCTTTACTACAATGAGCCTAGTTGTGTTCTGACTGCGTAGTAATTAATAGACATTTGTATTTTAAAATGTATACAGTATTATTTTTTTGTATTCTGTGTAAACATTTGTATTCTGTATAATTCCAAGGTGCACCATTGAGCAATTGCTGGGGATTCGTTGATGGCACAGCAAGGCCAATTGCAAGACCTATTTATAATCAAAGGATTATGTACTCTGGACACAAAAGAGTGCATTGTATTAAGTTTCAGGTTGGAAATTCATTTGTTTTGGTTGTGTTGTTTTAGTTACATTTATCATAAGCCTTGTGAGTTGTGAATTTATTATATATAAAACAATATTCAATGTTAATTAATAAAAAATATATGATAGTATACTGTATATAAAATTAATTAAACCATGTTTTAATTTCTTTTAGTCAGTAGTGTGACCAAATGGCATGATTTGCCATCTTTTTGGGCCAATAGAAGGGAGACGACATGATGACGACATGATGCTTTCATGTTGGCTGAAAGTCATCTGCTGGAATTACTTCAACATAGAATGAATCAGGCTAATGGTGATCCTTTTGTTTTGTATGGTGATCCTGCTTACCCAGTGAAGAGCCACCTTCTATCCCCTTTCAAAGGAGCACAATTGACAAAAGCTGAGAAAAGCTTTAATGAAGATATGAGTACAGTCAAGACATGTGTTGAGTGGGCATATAGAAAGATTATAAAGTACTTTGCATATCTAGATTTTAAGAAGAATTTAAAGGTGCTCCTTCAGCCAGTTGGTAAATTTTATGCAACAAGAGCAATTTTAGCAAACTGCCACACTTGTCTGTATGGGTCACAGACAGGAGATTATTTTGGCATTGACCCACCTACCTTAGAAACATATCTAAACAACCATTTCTAAACAAATTGTTGAACAAAACATTTACATTATTGATTGATTTGATATATAATGTGTAAATACAATAATTAAATAATTAATATTCGTCAATATAATGCATGCACATACATCAAGAACAATTGTAAATTATGTGATTAAATTTTTTTCAGAATGAATATATTGTACTCAACAAAATCACTTTATGAACATGCATGGGTGAAACTTTTAACAGGTTAACTTTTTTTAAGTTTGTCACTTAGAAGAGCATCCCATTTTTCTTTTTCAAACTGCATTCTTTTTTCCTCAATGGCTATTTTCCTTTCTTCAAGATCAAGTTTTTTCTCCTTGATTTTAATGGATTCTTCATTCTCTTTTGTCAAATAAGTTAGCAACTGGGCAGGTCCAACACATCTATTGACCTTTTCTTTTTTCTTGTGTGCACCTAGAAATAAAATCATTGAAATAATGAAGCCTATATAAAATTGCACCTTGTTTAGTATTTTTCATCATGTTGTTGCTTGATTATACCATCACATTTTATTGTTGAGTTTCTATTGGTTCAACTTGATATACTTCTGCTATTTAAGCTAGAACAGACTGACTAGAGATACCTCTTTGGTTATCATCCTTCAACTCTAACGTCTCTACATAATCATCATCCATGTCTTCTGATAACTTTCTCTCTACCAAAAAATCAAAAACATTATCATTGAGTACATTATGAACCTTTCCTGGTATTTTTTTCATTCAGGCTGGATTTGTTTGATGAACCTGTGTTTCACAATACATAGAAAACAATTTAAACTATGTATGGATTCATAGTATAGACTTCATCAGTATTAAATAGTATGTATATATCAGACTAAATATCAGGTACTCTTCTTGATCTATTATTTACCATTTTATATGAATTTTTTTGTTTTGTCTTTATTTTAAATAATACAAATTAATTTAGTATCTGATTCTTGTGTTGCTGATCATTATTGAAACAGAGCCTTTGTATTTTAGTGTATGGAAATAATTAAAAATGTGCTTACTCACATGTGTCACCACAGCAGCATTTCTCATTGCCAACCCTTTCAGCTTATTATCTGCTTCCTTTTTTTTTACTGGAGCATGCCTGTTTGTTTCACAGTCACATAGGTTGACACGACTTCGAGAAGCTGTAGTAACTCTGAATACTCTTCCTCAGATCCAGACCTAAAAAACAGTTTGCTTGACCTTAATTGTTGTAAATTAACAGTGTAGTTGAAGTACAATTGAGGCTAAAAATAGTAAAAAATACAGATGAAATCAAAACTAACCTTTTCAACAATTTTCTGTTCTCTGCTTTGTATTTTTTAATCAACAAGTCTAAGTGGTCTCTGCATCCTCTACCTTTTACTGGTGTTGTAAAAAGGCGAGAAAGATTATCTGCCACTTTACCCAAGGTTTCTGGGTTACATGGCTTGATATCTACAACTTCTTTTAAAAGTGAAACATTGTGGTAAATTTTCGGCCATCGAAATGGCGCTTGCTTTGCTTGAACTTGCATAGTCACCTTTTTTTTGGCCTGTAAAATGACTGAAAGAAAAAACCCGATAAGATTATTATGTACTGTTTTATAAGCCAAATATGATACTTCACAATTACAGGCTTTAAATCAGATGAAATTGTGTATAAAAAATGAAAAAAGGCACTCATGTTCTTCCTGTTGTTGAAAAACGACAAAACCTTGACCCAGAACGAAAAACGGCGGGAATGCTAAATCGACATCACATGACCTCCGCTGCCGTTTGCCGTTTATGCGAAGCTTAATCTCTCTAATGGCTTTGAGGAACTATATTAATCTGCCCGCAAGCAATTTCATAGCTGTGAAACAGGACTCATTCGTGGCTAGAGTGACATTTTATGTAAGATACACAGACCTATCGGCTGTGTTAGATAGAGTGGATAATTTGATCCTACTTCAAAGAAAGTCCACTAAATTTGGTAAAAAGGGTGAAAATTGGTTAAAGTCTTATCTATCTGGTCGTTCCCAGGCTGTTTAGATTGATAGTGCTACCTTAGACAATTATGATGTGTTTTGCTGTGTTCCCCACGAATCAGTTTTAGGTCCCATCCTATATCTGATAGACACTTACTCTGATTTACACTTATTACACATACTCTTTTTCTGAAATGATTTCCCCATTTTTTTCTGAGATGAATGTGCCCTTTTTAATTTTAAGAAATAAAGTGCCCAAGTGCCTTCTGTTTAACTGGCCTAATATTCAAGCACGACGAGATTATCTCAAGTGCATTCTTGTTTATAAATAATTTTTCGAATTATCACCGCCACCGCCGGTTTCTTTCAAATCCGCACTTACAACACTAGACGTGATCTCTTACGGTTACCTTTAGCTAAGCCTAAAACAACTAGTTATCAGGGCAGCTTTAGACAGGCGTTGAAAAACAGAGTAAAACGTCGCTTTAGTCATAGGCTATACAGTGCAATTATTTGCTCTGAACAATTAATAAAATAATTATGTTTTATAAACTTGTATTTTTAGTTGATAAAATCTAAAAGCGAAGGGTACCGTTTCAGTAGTTTTGGCTTGTACGGGCTATGCCTAAGGCAAAAAAATTCTTTGACCTTGATTGCCAAACCGGGTTAGAGATCATTGGGTTCTCATTGGTCAAGTGAGAGACTGACGCCTTCACAGACGTCCGACCGCTAGCTCAATCCGTCTATAAATAGCATGTGTGCGACGCGACAGTGACAAGTCATTGACAACATATCGCGTGTTTTCGCTTATTATCATTCACGATTAATTATTTCAACTTCTTGCAAGTCTATAAAGCTTACGAATCATCATGCCACAAGCAATAGGGCGCAAACAAGAGAGAGAGAAGGAGCTTTTTGAGACAGCTAAAAAAATGACAGAACTAACAAGTTTCTTAAAAGCGTTCCAACGGGGACAGTTAATGAGCCTGAGATCGACTGCGTGACACTTTCGGGAGCTACGGAGATTCCATCAACCAGTTTACCTGATCACCCCAATTTCAACTCAGCTTCTGATGATCGTGTCCCTACTGGCCCTACATCCATGTCAGAGTTAGCATTATCATTGCCTTCTGCCTTTACAACGAGTTCTCACAACCCAACAGCCTTGCCCAATTCGATGAGTACATTTCAATTTATGGGGCCTACTGCTATGCCAATTATGGAAGCGGAATGTTCACAATTGTTGAGCTGTCAGTGTTTGTGTTATATGGACGAGAGGCCTCACCATCCCAACCCTGAGGACTTAAAGCGTACATCCACGAAGCAAACCATGAAAGGATTGTCAAATGTGCGAACTTGTCCGCCGTCAATATTTTTGAGATACGCCTGGGTGACCTACTGCATGAGGAAAGGAGCTATCGCCTGCTATTTCTGCAGAAGGGCGACCCGTCAAATCCTTATCACATCTAGTCACAACGGCGAGAATGCTTTTTGCTCAGGTCAATTTAACGACTGGAAGAAATGCTATGAAAAACTTAAAAAACATTCCCAGTCTAAATTTCATGCGGAGGCCACTGATAAAGTTTTATGCTTTGATGATGCAAGAAACGATATTGGAGCAAAATTGGTTAGTGAATTGAAAGCAAGCTAGGAAACTCGGAGACGAATGTTGTTGAAACAGATTAGCAGCATCAGGCATTTGGCTCGCCAAGGCCAGAGTTTACAAGAGAAAACTGACATTGAAAGTGATTTGTACCAGTTGTTGAAATTAAGAGCAGAAGATGTACCTGAATTATTTGATGGATTGAAAATGGAAGATATCTTAGTCATGACATTGTAAACGAGTTGATCACCATGATGGGCAACACAGTTCTGCGGGCTATAGTTACGGACATACGCAAGAAGTCACAGTTATTTAGCATGATTGCGGACGAGTCTAGAGACGTCAGTAATAAGGAACAATTGACTTGTGTTTTGCGCTGGGTATCTACAACCGATTTATCAGTTCAAGAAGAATTTCTTGGAATGTATTAAGTGGAGAAAACCGATGCGGAAACAATAGCTACTTCTTTAAAAGATATTTTGCTGCGATGTAATTTGACGATTGCGAACTGTCGGTGGCAAACATATGATGGCGCGGCAAATATGTCCGGCGGCATAAGCAGAGTTGCAACCAGAATATCTTTGGAGAATCCCCGCGCCCTGTACATTCACTGTGGAAACCACGCTCTTGATCTAGCTTTACATGATTGTGTGAAGGCAAGCCAAATCGTCAGTGATTCGTTGAGGTTTGTGCAAGAGTTGGATATTTTGGAAAATTTCAATAAAGTTACATTTAACCAATTAAATTTTTGTTCTAATTTGTGTAACATCAGGGATATACATATATATATATATATACATATTAATATATACATATATATATATACATATATATATATATATATACATATATATATATATATATATATATATATATATATATATATGTATACATATATATATATATATATATATATATATATATATATATACATATATATATATATATATATATATATATATATATATACATATATATATATACATATATATATATACATCATATCTACATATCTATATATCTATATAGATATATATA